CTAGTCAATATTTTTTGAGGTCCTGGTACAGCTATGACAGCATGTTGTCTGAGAGGAGACAAATATTTCTCACAAGAGTCTGGCGTGGAACAATTGTTGCTGTTTTGAACTGTGTGGAGAAAACGCATCTAATGGAAGATGCAGCAGTGACCTTTTTTTAGATATTAAAGCAATGGTGTCTAGCCTAAAGACAAGTTATTGATGTATTTTGCTGTAAGTAAAAACTGAGCTGTTTCTTTTAGGTATGAGAATCAAGCAAGAAAAATGCAGCTGACAGTTCCACTCTGTTCTGCAGTGGCAGAAATGACGTTCTTTTGAGTTTTTACAATTCTAGAAGCTCCCTTGGGATTACTTCCCTGAATATTAGCACATCAATGACAAGAATTATTTTACCCCATTCTAGAATCAGTTTATGATACCATTCTGGAGACTCCATGGTTCTGCTAAACAGCTTTTATTAAGTATCGATTCTCTTTCTTTCTCCCTTTTCCCCACCAAATTCCATCAATTCACTCTTCATATGCAGTAAAGGAAGACATAGGGAGAGCTGCTCCTAGCTTTTGCATTGGTTTCTTAAAAATGGGAGAAACTAGAGCATTTCTGTACTATGAAGTTCAAATAAGATGAACCCTTCAGTTTTGAGGCTATTCTTCCCAATGTGGGAGATGGCTCCATTAGTTTTAAGATGTTTGTGCTGATGGCAGACTGTCAGAGGGGAGAAAAGCTAGAAAGAAATCAGAGTAGCTTAAATCCCATAATAGAGAAGGAGGAACTAATGGTACTTATTAGATGTTTACTAGTTCGTTTGAATAATAAAGGCACAGGCTAAAGTGTTCTGTAGAAAAGAATTGCCAGGTAACATTGAGATGAGTGCACTTTATCAGCGTGTGCTTTGTTTTTGTCTCTAACTGGTGGTTTCAGTGTATGTCACTTTATTATTTTTTTCTGTTTAGGTGGTGCAATGATTGGTGTTTTTGCAGGAGGAATGGGAGCGCCTAGCATGGGCCCAGTAAGATCTGGAATGAGTAGGTTTAACTTGTTTCAATAGAATGTAATTATATGGTGTACATGTAATCGTATCAGAGGATTTCATTGTAGTATAGTGTCTTGCCAGTGCTGGAAGAAGTAGAATTCTGTTGCGTGTGACTGCAAGCCATTTTTAAAGCTGTTTTGCTGAGCTAAAAGTTCAGGGGAAAACTTGCTAATACAGTCTTTCCCTCATTCTTAGTTTTGAAATGGTTTTAACTTCTCATTTGGAGGGAGAAATGATTCAAGTAAATTTGTGTTTCAGAAAAAAAAGACAAATAGGCACAGTTATTTTTGTGAACTTCATGAAGCTGAATTTCAGTAACCTCTCATCATTGAAATAAAAAATCAGCCGTGAATTTCAGATTATCACTTAGTTTAATTTTGTGCAAAGCTTCAATACTGAGTTTGTATTACAGGAATTGTCTTGAGTTCCTCAGACTAGAGCAGATGAGAAACTAAAATCTTGCTAGTAGCAATCTTGAGAGGCATAAGGCTTAAAAAGAAGGTCTGTCATGAATGATCTTGATAGTTTTGCTTTACATTAATTTTAAATTATGAATCCAGAAAGATTATAATAGGATTTTTGAATGACATTGATCTTAGTTCTTTACATAATATACATTAATATATTTCATTGCATGCATCATAGGAAAGTGCATGCTTTTCACGGCACTTGCAGTAATATCTGTTCTCTGCAAAATATGCTTTCTCTAGAAGACTCTGTCATTAAGTGTGGGTATGGCTACATTAAGTAAAGCTGAATGTGAATGCAGGAAGCAAAATAAACAATAGTGTATATGGTCAGATCATCTGTAGCTTAACATTGTCACAGTTATTTACTTGATCTCTTTTTGATACATGGTATCAGATTAACTGGACAGCCTTTAAATCTTAATTCTTGTGTTCAACATTTTACTACATCAGATGGTGCGACTAATAGTTTGATGTGGTTAGTTTTTTACTTGTATTTTAGAACTGACACTTTGTATCTTCTAATACTTTGCCTTAAAATATTAGCCATGCTACTAGATAAATCACTGTGCATGTATGATATGTTTTATATTACAGCAGTTTTAATAAAGTTGTTTTTCTCCTCACACAAAATAATTTTCTTTTTTACAAAATACTTGTGCATCTATTACTAAAAAGAGATTTTTATTTTATCCTCCTTTTCTTTTTCTGTGTAGGTGGTGGAATGGGTGGTATGAACAGTATGGCTGGAGGAATGGGAATGGGGATGGATCGGATGAGTTCTGGTTTTGATCGAATGGGACCAGCTATGGGTGGAGGCCTGGACAGGAACATGGATATCGATCGAGGATTTGTGCCTGGCCCAATGGGAAGTGGCATGAGAGAGAGATTAGGCTCTAAAGGCAACCAGATATTTGTGAGAAATGTAAGCATTTGAATACATAGAAACCATGAGCTTGTTTTCTGTGCATGTTTAATGACACGCTCTTTTTCTCCTTGTAATATTCTGTTATTAATAATGCTTTTTTTATTCTAGCTTCCTTTTGACTTGACCTGGCAGAAGCTAAAGGAGAAATTCAGTCAATGTGGTATGTATGTGAATCTTGTCCCTGCTTAGCTCCATCGACTTCATGTTTTATATGGTGTTCATTAGATAAGGACAGGAAGACGAGGTTGTTGCCTTGTCCTGAAGAACAGTCTGGCTAACCTAATCTTTCTTATTTTCCCCAGCTTTCTTGAGTTGCATAAATAATTTTTAGGCATGACATAAGACATGAGACCAAGGTACAGTATGGGCTATGGTTGGCTCTGAGTGCTCATCTGCTGTAACTTTAACCCGTTCCATTAATAAAATTACTCTTCGAGCTTTTTCTTTTTTGAAGCAGGTATTATGTATCCTCTGTCCAACACAGAGTATATAATGTAGGTTGTTTTGAGACAACACTTGCAGGGGCCTGGGTCTGTCTGGGTTATGCATTACTTTCAGACATGGTGCTGCATCAAATCAGAGTTAATAGTTTTGCCAAAGTGGCAGATTGTTTTTTATGAAAATAAATGACCCTGATTAGCATATTTGCAGGCTGTAATGCTTCTCCTTTATGTTAAGAAATAAAGGCCTTTTTTATGTAAGATAAAGGATTGCTACAAATATTTAATAATTCTTTTTATTTAATTCAGAAAAGTTGTCTTTTCACAGAAGTGAATGAAAAATGAAGCTTGGGTGTAGAAATACATGATTGCTTTGTTTTGAAAATGCACTTTCAGAATGGAAAGCTTTAACTGAATTACAGGATGGGTCTTCTTATTCTGGAGAGACAGAAAAGACATAATTTAAAACATACTACTGATACCTGAGACAGTCTTCACACAGCTATTTGCAGATTTGATATAAATTAGAACTCACACTTCAGCTATGAAGAATTTTCAGGTGTTCACATCTGATCTCTTTTTTTGTAGCTGGAGGATATACCGAAACAGGTTCTTTCTTTTTTTTTTTAAGTCTTAACTGCCTGGGCAACTTTCAGATAGTTGAGAATTTTTTTTTTTTCATTATCTCCTTGGCAATTAACAGATGTAATAATTATGTTGAATTGTTTTTAAGAATTGTAAGCACAAATACAAGCAACGGATTGTATTTACACCAGTATCCTGAGGGAGTATAAAGACCATGTTTCCATATGTTCAGTTTTTTTCAGTTAAAGGCTAGTCTTCTATTAGATGATATTTAAAACTTAAAAGCTATGTATTTTAGGGAAAAGTTTCTTGTTCCTAGAGGCATTTAGTTGCTCAGGAACGGTGTGCTACAACATACCATAAGCAAAAAACTCACTAGCTCCAGGCAGTGAACATTCTCTGAGGTACCAGGAAATCTACATAAATATGTTGCCTCATGAGTTGAGTGTCCAACCTGAAGAAAACACTGCAGGAATTGAATACTGCATTCTACTTTTCCACCACTCCTAACCTGGTAACTTTACAGTTTTAAAGGCTTTAATTTTACTTTGCAGCTTCTTTACAAAATTGCCTGATTGTTGTGATTGCTTGATAAGTTGCTATGATGAACGTGGTGAACTGGATTGAACTATAAATCAGTTAACACTTGTCAGCAGTTGCACTTCTGGCAGTGTTGGTAAATGAAACACAAAACTTTCCCGTAGCCTTATAGGGCACTTTGTTTCAAACTTGAGGTCAAATACAGGCATACTTCATGTTAAGATAGTGTGAAGGAAAGATTTGAAACAGGGGATAAAAATTAATTTGGATTCTTCAGTGCTGTTTTGACCTGTGTCACCTTCCCTGAATAAGGGAATATACCATCAGTCTGAAAGTGCTAATTTCATATGTCCCCCTAGATTATCTTTAAAAATGCTTATTTTATCACTTCTGATGAGTTATTTAAGTTGTTAGTGCACTGAAGACTTGAAATAACTGGTGTTTAACTTATTTATTCAGGTCATGTAATGTTTGCAGAAATAAAAATGGAGAATGGAAAATCAAAGGGCTGTGGAACAGTCAGATTTGACTCACCAGAATCTGCTGAAAAGGCCTGTAGGATAATGAACGGCATAAAAATCAGTGGCAGAGAAATTGATGTACGCTTGGATCGCAATGCATAATTTAAAACTGTGTGTTCAGGAACATTCCTATGTCTGTTTAGCTTCTCTATCCTAGTAAGTCATTTTTAGTAACATTGTATGCTTACAAAAGCTGTAAAAAGGAACTTTTAAATCCCACCAGCCTTTAACAGTATAGTGTTTAATATACTGTGATACTTGTTAACTGAATCTTACTATGTTTGGTTTTTAAAGACAATTTGCCTGATTTTTGTTGTTTTTTTGGAGGCACTGAGCACCTGCAGGTCCCTGTAGACCGTGGAAGCTTTGGATGCTCAGTGCCTTTGGAAAATTAGGCCAAGTGTCTCTAGTCATTCAGTTTAAATGAATGGTTATACTGTTTTTAATAAAATAAGCCATTTTCTCTGTTAATCTCAAGATTGCATAGTGGGATTTGTTTAGTGTTTTCTGATTTTTATTTTTTTTCTCCCAGTGTGTATCAACATTGTAATGTAAAAACTAGATGTCTTTTTTTCAAAATTTTGGTTTTATATGTGCATTGTAGTCATACTGTAATTCTTGACTCTAAAACAAAGGGCTCCAATTAGGCTGTGATGTTTTCGTTCTACTTAGTATTACTTTAATGACATGACTTAGTTCTGTAAATAAGATTTAGAGCCCAATGGGAGTTTTGAATTTTTTTTTTATTTTGACTAAATGAAGAAACTGATCTTTCTCTCCTGCTTTTAGTTTTTTTTTTTTTCCATCAGTATAATCACTGATTAAAGCTAGTTGCCACAGACACTTGTAGGATTGTTCCCTATGATGCCAAGTTCATATAAAATAGATAATACAGTAAATACTACGTACAGTACAAGACAAACTGCTCCCAATTTTTTATCTATTTTCCAGCCATTCAGATGAACTGCCAGAAAAATAAAAACAACAGAACAGATAAGAGAAATGGCTGTGTATGTCAGACCGCTGCTGTTCACTTCTATGGGTCCTGATGTATTTATGAAGGCAGTTTTTATAAACCAGGGTATTCCCAAACAGAGCATATCAAATACATTGGATCCTACAATGTTAGACATAGCCATATCTCCACTTCCTGTAAAAAAAGAAATACAAATAAGTCTGCTTAATTGTATTGTATGAAATTGCCAAACTGTTTTGGAGGAACTGACTGTCAGCCCTCAATTTCCCACAAAGCACCCTTTTCAGACTTTTCATTCAAAGAACTATAGTCATGATTTTACAGAACATGGTTTTGGGTACCACAAGCATTAAAAAAGAGAAGTCTCCCTAAATCACCAGCATCTGCACAATTGCACTTAACATAAGCTAGACAGGCTATTATAAAATCCAGCTGTGTTTAAAATAGCAAGACCTACAGTTGTGTTTTGCAGTAAAACTGTAACACTTGATCAACAACAAATCAAACCAATCTAGAATACTTCTCTGAGATACTCTGAGAGGTTTTTAAATGTCTGAGCCACAGCTTCTTCAGGTAAGCTATTTATTTATCATTAGTAAACTTAAGCTGTAGAATCTGGAGCAAAAATTTTGAAGTTACTTCTTGAATTTCTGGAAATGTTGACTAGAATTCTTTTTTCATAGTACCTTTTAAACATGTCCATTGGAATGAGCCTGAATGCTAAAATCTTTACCTTTTCGAGCCACCAGCACACTTGCAACTGTATCTGGTACACTTGTTCCTGCTGCTAGTAATGTGAGACCCATTACTGACTCTGGAATTCCCAGTGTTTCACCTGCAGTTGATAAATAACGGTAGAAAATGCAAGTATGTTTTTAGTTTAAATTTAATCCAAAGAAATTGTTTTGGACTTTGCTGGGGAAAGGATTAGTAATCATATAGTAATTTCAAAAGGAATCTGTCAGCTAACTTGACTAAATACGAAGTGATTGAACCATGAAGTAGTTAAAAACAAGAAAAACAACAAAGAAATACATCCTGTCCTTGTTCTTCAATCAACTCAAAAAGGAATTGTAGTATAGTAGCCCTCCTGCTTAACAAGTTTCTCAAAGACCAGAGTGGACTGTCTCCAGTGGTCAACACAATACCAATTATGATTTTTTTTTCTTTCAGATACAGTCGAAGTTTTAAGTATCTCTCAATTTACTCCCT